TCTTTGAACGATGAAAACAAATTTGTGTTTTGCGACTCTCTCTCTCTCTCTCTCTCTCTCTCTCTCTCTCTCTCTCTAAAGATCTTTATATCAAGATAAAGCTTTTACTTGCGCTGATATTGCTGTTTTACAATCGACTATTTGAAAAATACGTAACAAGAAAGAAACAGACATGAGTACAACATACCTTTTTGGAGTTTACTTTGAAGTTTTTGGTTTTCATTTTTAAGAAACTGAACTACGGCTTCTTGCTTTCGTAGCTGTGGAGTTAGAAACACCAGTTTTAGAACACTGATATATTAATACCATGAGCAACGAGAAGGAAAAATATATATATATATATAATATTTAATAAGAATTTCTGATCCAAAATAAGCTTAGTGGATCCAAACTTAAAGGTAACTATACATTAATGAAAACATACTATATCTAATACTGTTACCAGAAGCACTTAAATCTTAAATTCACAAGAAAACTGAAGCCCATAATGAGTAAGATACTGTTCAGAATATTTATGGCTATAAACCCAATAACATCTTATGAGATTCGACTAGTTTAGGTACTTATGTTAGTCCCAAGTTACCTAAAATTGAACCAACTTTGCAAAATATTCTTCGTTAGTGTAAATATCAAATATAACCAAAATTATCATAAACATTATAACCATTAATATTCATGTAGCCAACCAAAAAGAAATGTTCACAAGTGTTAAATGAACTTTTAATTAACTAAAGATAAATCTTTACAAGTGTCAAAATTAATTAAACTAATAAAAGAAATATATATGCGTAGGAGGTAAAATTGGTTTAAACTAACCAAAGAGAAACCTTCACTGGTTTTTAAATTGGTTTGAATTATCAAAATACAAGTCTTCAGAAGTGTTAAAATTAATTTAAACTAACCAAAGAGAATTTTTTACAAGTGTTAAAATTAAATTAAAGTAACCAAATATAAACCTTCACAAATGTTAAAATCAGCTTAAACTATTCAAATACACGTCTTCAAAAGTGTGAAAGTAAGTTTAAACAAACCAAAGAGAATTCTTTACAAGTGTTAAAATTAAATTAAAGTAACCAAATATAAACCTTCACAAATGTTAAAATCAGCTTAAACTATTCAAGTACACGTCTTCAAAAGTGTGAAAGTAAGTTTAAACTAACCAAAGAGAAATCTTCAAATGTTGAAATACTTGAAATATTTAAAGCTATCGTAAATAAAAAAACAACTAAAACCTAAAAAAACTGAAAGGAGCATATTATTACAAAAATGCCTGAAAGTTCCAGTTAATAATAAATGCAAAAACTGGATTGAGCGTAACACGTAGTCTGCAACGGATGTGACAAATATATAGCACTGTTTGAATACTATCATCACATACTCTTCTAGTTCTCGAAAATCCCTAAGGATTTAAAACGAAATAGGCCTAACACTAATGTCTTATGACAAGTATAATTGTAACAACAACAACAAAAAGCTTTATTTGGTTGTTAAGCATAAAACTACACAAAAGGTAACCTGCGCATTTCTCAACCAGGGTATCGAAATCCGATCATTAGCGTTAATAAGTTTACAGACTTACCGCTGAGCCACCGCGTGTGGAGGGGTGGGGGGCATTAAATAAACAGATTTATTTCCAGGCACTTTCTCTGCATTTCCCAAACAATGGCAAACTACCAAAGAAAAACCGACCTTTTGACCTGTATGGTCAATTTTAGTTGGTTCGACCAATTATGCAGAACTGTTATAGATACATCTCGTGAGCTGCAAAACGAATTATTTACACAGCATTGAAACTACCATATATAACACAAATATATAAGCATCAGAAACTACAAAGAGCATTTATATGTAGCGCTGTTATATTAATAACAAGACCCTCGAGAACGATCTGTACATAAGGCTGACACACCGTTTCCATGAGCTATAAAAACGAACTACATATAACACTTTCAGCTGTGGAAACGTTGTAATATGGCAGTCAGTTCCATTCTTCGTCGGTAAAGTGTAGCCTAAGAATTGGCGATGGGTGGTGTTGATTAGGTACCTTCCTTTGAGTCTATTACTTGTAAATTAGGGACAGCTAACGTAGATATCTCTCGTTTAACAAACAAACATAAAGAACCTTACAAACTACAGATATAAAATCCCCTTTAATCAATACGTAAACTATTGTCAGTTTGCTTTATCTAGTTATTCCTTGCCATCTAAGAAAGTCAGACAGAGATGGGGTGGGCTCTGGTGGTTAGGGAGCTTGGACTTTAAAACCCCAAGGTTCATGGTGTGTTACCCATTGCCACAAAAAAAAAACAACTCCGAATTTTGGGACTGTGGGTTTGCTAAAGTAATAACGGTCAAATCCCACTATTTGGCCAGACAAGAGTAGCCTAAGCTATTGACTAGTTGCTTTACCTCTAGAATTAGCGAAGGTTATGCGCAGATAACCCTTTGTTTAGCTTTGCGCGAAAATTATGAATAAAAACAAAACAAAACAAAAAACACGAAAGTATCGTGAAAAACCATATAAGGCTTTGCTATGGTAAGTTGTACTTCACCATTAAATATGGTTATCTAAAAGAAATAATGCTATTTCCTTGCAATTTTTGTATATATATTTAATTTTTAGAAATATTTTTTTCTAGCGAGTTCACTTTTATACAGGTCCATAAGTTTACATTGACTGTTTTGAAAGAACAGCAATATTAAAGGAATCGATTATTGACAGCATTGGGTGACTTTTACAGCTAATACCACACATTCATGGTTCCTTTATTATTCTTCAAGGAAAAGTACCCTAAAGTCAATTCGTTGTCCTCTCTAGCTACAGAAGTTGAGTAATCACCAATACTTTCATTATATAATTCAGGTTAAGTGAAATAGCTTTGAT